TATATCCAGGCTAGTCACATGGACATTTTTGCCACTGTCACTGCCACGTTGCTTAGAGGGCTGTTAAACACATGATTAGGCTTGCTCCTCCAAGTAGAACGGACTATATCAAGTAATGCAAGTTTGAAAGCGTTTCATCAAGGTGTTTTTTGAATAGCGTTAATGAAGGGGCAAGGTTAACGTGCGTCGGAAGGGCATTCCTGGCACAGGACACACGGAGGGAGAAAAGGTTTTGTCGACAACAAGTCGTCTGTAGTGCGTAGCTTAGCAAAGTGGTTGCAATGGTCGACGTTGGAGGATGTTTGTCCAGCAGAAGGCTTATCCATGTCGATTGTTGGTTCCAGCTTCCAAAAATAACTCGAGTTGACACCGCACAGTGTTCAGAAACTGCATTACACTCTGGTAGCAGAAAATCGTCCACCGGATTTCCTGGTTGAATTTACCAAGGCAGTAAACATGAAAAATTGTAATTATGGCACTACCGCGGACGAGATTTACAAAAGGTTATACAAGAAATTTGTAGGTAAATTTGATTTGCCATTATTCCATAAATAATTTGTTGGTTGCACAATGTGAGCGAATTTCGGAGGAAATTATTTAGTTTAATTAAGGGAAGGAACTGAAACAGCAGAAGGATGAAGATTTCCATGCCAAATTAGCACATATATTTATAACCAAACTAGCAAAATTGCAGATAGTTTTGAGGAACCTTTTGACGATTAATAATATTGGTACGTTTACGTAAACGTTTGTAACTTATGTGTTTCTCTGTTAGGTATAATCACTGCTGTTATTTCAATATATCACATCGTTAACCCATTGGCTTCTTAAGGTCGCTTTTTTGATTTGTACCGCAGTTCTACTTTGACGTTTATGCTATCATTTCCCTTTCTGTATGTGCATCTGATTGTTTCCCACTTATACTCGTTCATGGTTGGCACTGTGCACAGGCTTTCAGCATTCCCGTTAGTATTTGTATTTAGCATCGTGATACATAACGATGCCTTTTACCTATTCCAAAGAACACTGAAGCTTGTTAACTTTTCGTTCGCGTCCTCACTACCGTTAGGAAGTGAAAGCATTCATGGTGTCCGAGACAACAGTGATTAATACACTAAACCTTAGCTTGAAATGGAATATGCTGCAATTTTCAAAATTCAGATTAAGGTAAGCAGTTTCCTTCGCATCCTTCAGGTTTGCCAACGCTGCGCTGAAATCAGTTTATTTCGACGTCCCAGAATGGAGGAAAGAAAAATGCGCATTTAAAGACTGAATGAGTCTCTAGTTGGCATCAGTCTACATTCTATCTACGTCTGTTTTGCTGATTTGAAAACAGCTAGCTGAACAGATAGGTACTACGAATATTTGCAGTGAAGAAGGAATATTTCAAGTAGTGTTTTCCAGAAGTCAAAGCACAATTCTTTGGACTACGCCAAGACAACACAATGCAACATGTTTCAAAAACACAGAAACAGCAATATTTTGGGTGAAGTTTGACGGCCAGTATTCGATTTGATCAAGCAATACGTTGAAAACGCTAATCGCATTTGCAAAATTTTGCAGTTGTATAAGTGAATTTGCGACAATTGTATCAATTAGAACAAAAGCAAAGAACCGACTTAGCTTACGGAGTGATTGTCTGAAACTGCACTACTAGTTTAAAAAGGTTCAAGGTTAAGCAATATCAACCGTCGAATTAACCTAACTTACCCTTTGTTATGATAAAGAAAGATACTCCAAACTAGGTGCTTGTGTTTAAATCGTTGAACTTAATTAAAAATGTAGCCTTTTTCTATAAATCAAAGCCTGGTGTTCAAGAGCTAAGTGCAAGTATGTTTTTACAAGCGTTATATGGGCATTTGCTTATACTGAACAAATTTAAAGTCAGTAGCATCAGCACGTTTAAAGAGCACTATTACAATGTTACTTTAATATTGACGATTTGAAGCTCACTGACTCTCGTTACTAAAATCAGCGTTCTGTGTTAAAGCTGAAATAGTGCGAAGGCTGGAATCAACAAATCTTGACTTAAAGGAAACCAAATTCTCATTGTTGTAAAAATTGGATTTGACCGCTCCGTTTGCGTTGTCATGATGATGTCCAAAAAATAATCAACACCGTACCCGCTCCTTTGTTGCAGAGGCAATTGGAGTTGAGAAAATCACTGGTTTATGGAAAATCAATACTGATGTACATTTGACACTGATTTGAAGCCAAGTACTCCAATAGCTACCCCCTCAACCTGCGACGTTCCTGGCTACAAAATTCAGCAACGAACCAGAAACTCCATTCTTACTGCTATAATGTCTCGCTGTGACCTTTTACTCCAGCAGCAACTCGTACAAAATTGCTAAATTTCCGTTTGTTTGGAAGACGGTTATGCGTCATTTTTAGAGCAAAATTTGTCCCCAGGAATAATATACTTTCAATTTAGTGCATGTGAAGAAGCTGAACTGCGCGTTGGGCATATCAAACCAAACTAGTGTGCACATAGTTGTAAGTAGCCAAAAACGATGACTGCTGGTCAGTCGAACTCCAATAAATCAATAGCACTCAAATGAAGCCAATCACATTTACTTGCGCTCACCAATCTACCAAAGGTGTAGCCATCTGGCTTTAAAAACCGCCGAGCTGAAAGCTACTCTCATTGTGAACCCCGAATATAAACCTTATTTCAAGTTGGGATCGCCATGGGATCGCCAATATCCCCTGACCGGCGAACTTGTATATGGAAGAATTCGAGAACAGGGCGTTAACCAACACCATTAACTCACCAAAAGTTTGGTGACGCTATGTAGACGACAAATTTGTGTTTGTTAAACGGCATAAGAAGAACGAGTTGCTTGATCAATAAACTCGATTTATGTGAGGATAAATGTTACTATTGGGTAGGGAACTTGTAGTGATATAATGCCATTACTTGACTGCCTGGTTCAAAGGAATGCGGAAACTATAAAGACGACAATATATCGCAAGCCAACAGATAATGATGGCGTACTCCACTACACTTTGGGTCATCCGAAACAGGTTTAGGCTGGGATGACCTCAGTGCTGTTCTACAGGGCACAAACGCTGTGCACGATTGAGGAGGACAAAAAGGCTGCGCTGAAAGTTGCAATGAGCAAATTATTCGGCGGCTAGTTAAGCGGCTAGTTAAGCGCAAATTTCATAAAGTGCTAAACGGATAGTCAAGACCATAACCGAGTGGATATGGACGGTAGGAATTCCGTACAAGAAATGCACTCGGAGGGAAATCAGAGGATACCAAACAAGGAACATAAAAGGTTGATCTTTCAAAGAGCCCGAACGTTACGTTCGAAGCTGCTACACCTAATTGGCCCCCTCCGAAGGATAGGACGACAAACTGTTTAGAAAATTAAGTGTAAGGACTGTGCACATGTGTACATAGGCCATCCAGCGAGATAATTACGCACACGAATTTCAAGGCACTAAAGGTGCATTTCAAGACCAACAAAAAACCAATTTGAATACCAGGCAATAGTAAGAGATTCGGCCGTGGCTGTGCGTGCATTAGACACGGGTCACCAGATAGACTTGGAAAACATAGAGGTCATTAGTAGGGGTATACGATCAACGTTTCGGCAGTAGGTTGCCAAGGCGTTGGAAACTGCCAATTCTGACGACTGCGTGAATGGAATGGAGGAGAACTCTCTAATGCGTGGCGAACGATCTTAAGCCGGCCAGCCTGACGAGCGTCGGTGCGTGGATCAGATTGGAAAGTGCAAACCGACGCCCAGTGTACGCAATATGGGCTTATCCCTCATTGACATGATGCACAAAGAACACCTGTATTATCCCCACTGTGAATGAACCACCTGAGGTGACATCAAGAAGTATGACCGTAGTTACACCTTGATTCAATTATCGGGTAACGCGGTTTTCGCCCCTGTTCGCTGTAAAATCGCACTGCAATTGCACACTGATTCACCTGGTCTGATGTAGCTCTTGTGTCAAGAGCGGAACGTTACCAAACTACTATGCCGACCGACTGTTTCCCAACCTCTCTGAACTCAAGAAGTTATTACTAGTTTAGTTGGACGGAATCTCGGCTTATTCAAATATTACTGGTACAACATGTTACCAGTTGAAACACGATTATTTGCGTTCATTCTTCTTCCCAACGCTGGATTAGTTCCATTTTAGAGTTAGCTCTAAACATTTTAGATAACCTGAGCTTTAAAAACACACAAAACCTTATCAGACGAATGGATAACATATGCAAATAAAATCTCAAATCGTGTGCTACATTTTACCTACCTTAAATTAGCCTATCAGTATCCGCACTTGTGGCACCTAGTAGGCGATTATAAGCAAACTACGATCTGCTTGCATCGCACTGTCCATTAATGAAGGTAGAATATCTAGGATAAAAATTACTTCGCATAGAAGTTTTCACCTTGAATGAAGACAACTGTCGACCTTTCACAAAAAGTAAAAACTACACATCTTTAAAACCCTTCAGCTTAAGGTAGAAGAAATGTTTGTCGCACGTACAAATCTATCAAAATATGAACCACTTAAGTAGAGGCCTAGTGCCTGAATGATACTAAAATATTTTTTATAGTTACAGATAAGCAACAGTGGATGCTATCTTGCTTGAGCATAACAATAACTAAATAAATCAAACCAGTAACATATATGTATATTACTTTGCTCTCTTCTGGTAATTGTTATCGCACATTAAAAGTCGCGACTTATTGTGAGAGAGAAACTACCCAAGCGGTGCTATGAAGTAAGCGTGGACCGAATCCAGTGCAGAAAGTGACTGACACTTGCATATTAACTCTAGTCGATGGTTTTCATCGAAAAACTTAATCCTGCGCAAAATTTAAATGCATAAACAAATGAGTTGAAATTGTGATTACCGGCGCCTATTTTAAACACTAATTTTCTCCTCAAGAAAGCACATAAAAATAAGAAAAAAAACAGAAAATACAAACAACAAAAAAAGAGCCAAAACACAAATAAAAAAGAAATACCAAAGAAACCACCAACCCCCCCCCCCCCCCCCCCCCCCCCCCCCCCCCCCCCCCCCCCCCCCCCCCCCCCCCCCCCCCCCCCCCCCCCCCCCCCCCCCCCCCCCCCCCCCCCCCCCCCCCCCCCCCCCCCCCCCCCCCCCCCCCCCCCCCCCCCCCCCCCCCCCCCCCCCCCCCCCCCCCCCCCCCCCCCCCCCCCCCCCCCCCCCCCCCCCCCCCCCCCCCCCCCCCCCCCCCCCCCCCCCCCCCCCCCCCCCCCCCCCCCCCCCCCCCCCCCCCCCCCCCCCCCCCCCCCCCCCCCCCCCCCCCCCCCCCCCCCCCCCCCCCCCCCCCCCCCCCCCCCCCCCCCCCCCCCCAACCCCCCCCCCCCCCCCCCCCCCCCCCCCCCCCCCCCCCCCCCCCCCCCCCCCCCCCCCCCCCCCCCCCCCCCCCCCCCCCCCCCCCCCCCCCCCCCCCCCCCCCCCCCCCCCCCCCCCCCCCCCCCCCCCCCCCCCCCCCCCCCCCCCCCCCCCCCCCCCCCCCCCCCCCCCCCCCCCCCCCACCCCCCCCCCCCCCCCCCCCCCCCCCCCCCCCCCCCCCCCCCCCCCCACCCCCCCCCCCCCCCCCCCCCCCCCCCCCCCCCCCCCCCCCCCCCCACCCCCCCCCCCCCCCCCCCCCCCCCCCCCCCCCCCCCCCCCCCCCCCCCCCCCCCCCCCCCCCCCCCCCCCCCCCCCACCCCCCCCCCCCCCCCCCCCCCCCCCCCCCCCCCCCCCCCCCCCCCCCCCCCCCCCCACCCCCCCCCCCCCCCCCCCCCCCCCCCCCCCCCCCCCCCCCCCCCCCCCCCCCCCCCCCCCCCCCCCCCCCCCCCCCCCCCCCCCCCCCCCCCCCCCCCCCCCCCCCCCCCCCCCCCCCCCCCCCCCCCCCCCCCCCCCCCCCCCCCCCCCCCCCCCCCCCCCCCCCCCCCCCCCCCCCCCCCCCCCCCCCCCCCCCCCCCCCCCCCCCCCCCCCCCCCCCCCCCCCCACCCCCCCCCCCCCCCCCCCCCCCCCCCCCCCCCCCCCCCCCCCCCCCCCCCCCCCCCCCCCCCCCCCCCCCCTCCCCCACCCCCCCCCCCCCCCACCCCCAACCCCCCCACCCCCCCACCCCCCCCCCCCCCCCCCCCCCCCCCCCCCCCCCCCCCCCCCCCCCCCCCCCCCCCCCCCCCCCCCCCCCCCCCCCCCCCCCCCCCCCCCCCCACCCCCCCCCACCCCCCCCCCCCCCCCCCCCCCCCCCCCCCCCCCCCCCCCCCCCCCCCCCCCCCCCCCCCCCCCCCCCCCCCCCCCCCCCCCCCCCCCCCCCCCCCCCCCCCCCCCCCCCCCCCCCCACCCCCCCCCCCCCCCCCCCCCCCCCCCCCCCCCCCCCCCCCCCCCCCCCCCCCCCCCCCCCCACCCCCCCCCCCCCCCCCCACCCCCCCCCCCCCCCCCCCCCCCCCCCCCCCCCCCCCCCCCCCCCCCCCCCCCCCCCCCCCCCCCCCCCCCCCCCCCCCCCCCCCCCCCCCCCCCCCCCCCCCCCCCCCCCCCCCCCCCCCCCCCCCCCCCCCCCCCCCCCCCCCCCCCCCCCCCCCCCCCCCCCCCCCCCCCCCCCCCCCCCCCCCCCCCCCCCCCCCCCCCCCCCCCCCCCCCCCCCCCCCCCCCCCCCCCCCCCCCCCCCCCCCCCCCCCCCCCCCCCCCCCCCCCCCCCCCCCCCCCCCCCCCCACCCCCCCCCCCCCCCCCCCCCCCCCCCCCCCCCCCCCCCCCCCCCCCCCCCCCCCCCCCCCCCCCCCCCCCCCCCCCCCCCCCCCCCCCCCCCCCCCCCCCCCCCCCCCCCCCCCCCCCCCCCCCCCCCCCCCCCCCCCCCCCCCCCCCCCCCCCCCCCCCCCCCCCCCCCCCCCCCCCCCCCCCCCCCCCCCCCCCCCCCCCCCCCCCCCCCCCCCCCCCCCCCCCCCCCCCCCCCCCCCCCCCCCCCCCCCCCCCCCCCCCCCCCCCCCCCCCCCCCCCCCCCCCCCCCCCCCCCCCCCCCCCCCCCCCCCCCCCCCCCCCCCCCCCCCCCCCCCCCCCCCCCCCCCCCCCCCCCCCCCCCCCCCCCCCCCCCCCCCCCCCCCCCCCCCCCCCCCCCCCCCCCCCCCCCCCCCCCCCCCCCCCCCCCCCCCCCCCCCCCCCCCCCCCCCCCCCCCCCCCCCCCCCCCCCCCCCCCCCCCCCCCCCCCCCCCCCCCCCCCCCCCCCCCCCCCCCCCCCCCCCCCCCCCCCCCCCCCCCCCCCCCCCCCCCCCCCCCCCCCCCCCCCCCCCCCCCCCCCCCCCCCCCCCCCCCCCCCCCCCCCCACCCCCCCCCCCCCCCCCCCCCCCCCCCCCCCCCCCCCCCCCCCCCCCCCCCCCCCCCCCCCCCCCCCCCCCCCCCCCCCCCCCCCCCCCCCCCCCCCCCCCCCCCCCCCCCCCCCCCCCCCCCCCCCCCCCCCCCCCCCCCCCCCCCCCCCCCCCCCCCCCCCCCCCCCCCCCCCCCCCACCCCCCCCCCCCACCCCCCCCCCCCCCCCCCCCCCCCCCCCCCCCCCCCCCCCCCCCCCCCCCCCCCCCCCCCCCCCCCCCCCCCCCCCCCCCCCCCCCCCCCCCCCCCCCCCCCCCCCCCCCCCCCCCCCCCCCCCCCCCCCCCCCCCCCCCCCCCCCCCCCCCCCCCCCCCCCCCCCCCCCCCCCCCCCCCCCCCCCCCCCCCCCCCCCCCCCCCCCCCCCCCCCCCCCCCCCCCCCCCCCCCCCCACCCCCCCCCCCCCCCCCCCCCCCCCCCCCCCCCCCCCCCCCCCCCCCCCCCCCCCACCCCCCCCCCCCCCCCCCCCCCCCCCCCCCCCCCCCCCCCCCCCCCCCCCCCCCCCCCCCCCCCCCCCCCCCCCCCCCCCCCCCCCCCCCCCCCCCCCCCCCCCCCCCCCCCCCCCCCCCCCCCCCCCCCCCCCCCCCCCCCCCCCCCCCCCCCCCACCCCCCCCCCCCCCCCCCCCCCCCCCCCCCCCCCCCCCCCCCCCCCCCCCCCCCCCCCCCCCCCCCCCCCCCCCCCCCCCCCCCCCCCCACCCCCCCCCCCCCCCCCCCCCCCCCCCCCCCCCCCCCCCCCCCCCCCCCCCCCCCCCCCACCCCCCCCCCCCCCCCCCCCCCCCCCCCCCCCCCCCCCCCCCCCCCCCCCCCCCCCCCCCCCCCCCCCCCCCCCCCCCCCCCCCCCCCCCCCCCCCCCCCCCCCCCCCCCCCCCCCCCCCCCCCCCCCCCCCCCCCCCCCCCCCCCCCCCCCCCCCCCCCCCCCCCCCCCCCCCCCCCCCCCCCCCCCCCCCCCCCCCCCCCCCCCCCCCCCCCCCCCCCCCCCCCCCCCCCCCCCCCCCCCCCCCCCCCCCCCCCCCCCCCCCCCCCCCCCCCCCCCCCCCCCCCCCCCCCCCCCCCCCCCCCCCCCCCCCCCCCCCCCCCCCCCCCCCCCCCCCCCCCCCCCCCCCCCCCCCCCCCCCCCCCCCCCCCCCCCCCCCCCCCCACCCCCCCCCCCCCCCCCCCCCCCCCCCCCCCCCCCCCCCCCCCCCCCCCCCCCCCCCCCCCCCCCCCCCCCCCCCCCCCCCCCCCCCCCCCCCCCCCCCCCCCCCCCCCCCCCCCCCCCACCGACTG